CTCCCCGGCCCCCAGCCCGCCCGCCGCGGCTCGCTCGGCCCGGGGCCCCCCGACCGCCCGGACCGGCTCCCCGGTGCGCCGAGCCCCCCGGCCGCCCCTCGCTCTGCCGCCCGCCCGCGTGCGTTTCTCCTCTCCCTCCCAGGCGTTCTTTTCCCAATTTGCTGCTTTACCTTTGTCTTCCTCATTTAAATTTCCCATTCCGATCCTCTTTTCTTCTTCCCTATCTCTGTAGTTTCTCTTTATTTCTGTTTTACTTTCCCCCTCTTCCCGCTTTCGTCCAGCCTCGCCTTCCTGTTCACTTTATTTCTAATCATATTTTGTGTTTTAGTCGGCGCTTTGCTCTTATTTCTGTATGTCCTTCTCTATTTTTCATGTTTTTTCTTTTTTTAAAAAAAAAAAACTAAAATCTTTCTTTTTCTCCTTTTTTATGACTATACTTACTGTCTTAAAATTTCCCTTCATTTTGTCTCGTCTCTTTTGCTCTTGCTTTTTATTGCCTTTTTGTGTCTTTCTGTTTCTCGCCTGTTTTTCTTCGGGTTTTCTGTGTTTTCTCCACTTTTCTTAATTTGGTCTCCTCGGCTTCCTCACAGCTTTCTTTCTCTCCGTCTGTGAAACTCTCCTGCACTCTCCTCTTACCAACTTTCCTCTCCCCATCCAAGCTCATGGCCACCTCTGCTCTCCTTCCCAGCCTCACTAGCCCTCTTCTGGGCCTGGGTCTACCCGCGTACCCATCTCCAAAGCTGGGCCCTCAGGCTGGTGGGAGGATAGGCTTTGGGCGGGATGCCGGCTCTTCCTCTGCCCCACAGTCGCAGCCAGAAGCTTGGAGCCCACCCTACCAAGAGCTGCCTCCACCTACTCTGCACCCGGGCCCCACAGCAGCTGAAGCAAGGGGTCTGGAGGGCGGGCCAGTATAGACACAGCCTGGAGACTTACCTTCCATGTCCCTGGTGACGGTGCTGAAGTGCATCCCGGCCGGGGATCCTGGCAGCCAGCGAAGCTTCACCCGGTCAGAGGACCCCGAGCCCTGGTGGGCAGTACGCTCCACCGCCTCGGCTGCAACCAGAGAGGCGATGCTGAACGCACTGGCCCGGGGAGACAGCGGGCTCCGCGCATCCATAGGCGCCCGGCGGCCTGGCCGGCGCCGCCTCCGACTGCGTGTGCCCAGCCACACTGCGCCCAGCCCAGCCCAGCCCACGGAGTCCGGGGGCGGGGGCCTGTGGTGCCACTCACAGCCGGGGGCCCCTGGCCCAGAGGCTTATGGCGTCATGGGCCCCCAACTTGGGGCTGGTAGCAGCCGAGGGGCCCAGACGGGTGGAGCACCCTGGAAGTGCAGGGCCCTTCTGCTTTCCAAGCTCCCTGCCCCTTCCTCCGTTCCCAGGGACCTTCATGATCAACGCCCCTTGAACATCCCGTTGCTCCTGCCAAGGCTCAGCCTTCCTCTGTGCCGTGAAACCACCGTCAGCTTCTACAGCCCCCCAAGGAGAGGAGTCTATGCCACAGCACCCAGCCCTAGCCTGAGGTGGCAGGGCACCCTGCTGGGGTCCAGCCATGCCCCTGCCCTTGGCCCTTCCAGCCTCCACCTCCTCCCTGGCTGCCCCTGCACCTGGGTGAGGAGAGGGCAGCTCAGGCTCTCACGCCGCAGCGTCCTCTGTTCCTCTGCCAGCAGAACAGGACCCAGCTCAGTAAATGCCCAACAGCCCCCTGAAGTTAGCTCACTATGGTGGCTGGAGACCCCAGCGGAGGGCCGCTGCCCAGGCTGCGCAGCCCGGGAGCCCGAGCGTCACGCGCACTTGCGCGCACCGCCCGCCTCTGGCCAGGACGCTTATACATCCGGAGGGTGGGCAGTGCCCGCTCCTCCGACCTCCCTGCGCACCGGCCGGGTGCAGGGAGGGCCGGGGGCGGGGCCTGGCCGGCCTCGGGAGCCGAGGACACGAGGACAAGTTGGAGAACTTCAGGCCACCGGGTCAGATGCTGCGCCTCGGCACCCAGCAGCCAGGCTGCCTGCCGGGAGAAGCTCTGTGCCCCAACCCAGCTGGGCAGAGTGAGGGCGAGGCCCGCCCCTCAGCCTGGCTTCTAGGCCCAGGGATCCCAGACACCAAGGCCTGACTTGGCCTGTGTGTTCCCCCACCTACTGTCTCCGGGGTCTCCTCTGACCAGTTCAGTGCACCCATTGCCTTTCTGTCAAGGGTCTCTGCAGCTGGGTGTCAACCCCGGAGCCTCTGTGCCCCACTGGAGCCTCCCTGGTGCTGGCGGTCAGGGCCACGGTTTGCAAGGCCTCTCTGTATACAACCTCATTGTAGCCGTCGTTTTGAATGCTTGAGAGAGGAGTGAGAGGCAGGCAGCCTCTCCCAGGGTTTTTAGGATCTCAGGGCCTCAGACCCTGGGCTGGAGAGGATGCCGGGTGGGAGCTGGGAAGGCGCAGTAACTGGGGCTAGGGGACTGGGCGCCAGTGGCGAGGCCGGCCCTGGGCCTGAGATCCAGGAACGCATGTGAGTCCAGGGCCGCAGGGGTGAGTGTGCGAGTGGCGCCGCCTGTCTGGGATGTGGTGTGTGTCGCTGCACGTATGGGGTGCCCCGTGTCCTGCCCCCCGACCCTTGCCGCCTGCAGCTGGAGCTTATTGGGCCGTGTCAGAAAAGGGAAGCTGTCCCCAGTGCATTTCTCTTGCCCTGAGTGGCTATTCTGAGCCATGACAGTGACAATGACTTGTGTCTCTCAGTGTCACTGGGGAACCCAGGGACAGGTCCAGTGAGGGGTGCAGTGTGGACACAGACCAGTGTGGGGAAGGCCGCCTTCCCTCCTCTCTGAGCAGAGCCAGCCATTGTCCCCAGGAGCTGCTCCTGCAGGAAGGGACAGTCCCACTGGAGGCGGGTGGGAGGGACGCTGGTGGCCGCAGATTTGGTGGTGTTGCAGGAGACAGCCTGTGTTGACCGTCTGCACCCAGAGAGACCTGGGCTGTGGGGGTTGGGGGTGGGGCTCCTGCATGTGCCCAGCCTGTGGGTGTGCCGGTTTGTGTCCTGTGCACATCTGCACACACCTCAGGGCAGTGGCCAGATGTGGGGTTGTGGGTGAGGCCAACATTGAGGAGAAGTGAAAGTGAAAAACCCTGGGGCCTCTTGGAGGCTCTGGGCCAGCCCCTAAGGATCAGTCCAGAGTCCCCAGACCCCTGCGCCTGAGGTACGTAGGGAGCAGCAGAGCCTTCCAGCCCCCATTAACCCCTTTGTGCCTGAGCAGGACCTGCGGGCAGGCAGCCACGGCGAACGTGCCACAGCAGAAAAGAGGCTGTCAGGGTGGAGAAAACCCTGGTCAACCAGAAGGGCGCTGGGAAGAGGTGAGGGCTCCACCCAGGCTGCTCAGTCAGCCGACCCTACCCCACCGGAGGCCGATACTCACTAGCTCCATTTAGGATCCTCAGACCCGGCTGGGACCCCCAGCCCCCGCTGCCCAAGGCCAGGACCCACCAGGAGCCCTCTGCTAAAGGGGCCCAAAAGCCTGGAAGTGTGAGGCTGACCGAGTCTCCAGCCAGAGCCGAGGCCTCCACCGCCCAGCGGGATAGGGCTCCTCGGACCCTCCCTCCCGCCTAGGGCGCAGCCCCGCCGTGGTCTGCCACCTCGTCACCCACCCGCGCTCCTCGTCACCCGCCGCCGCCTCACCCGTTGTGCCCTCCCACAGCGCCGAGGGAGCGTGCCTGTCGGGTGGCAGTAGCCCAGCACCCGCGGGTTCCGCACGCGAACGCAGCGCCTGGGCACGGCCCGCGGCAAGTGTTCTTCCCTCACCTGGCCGGGCCGAGGCTCCCTTCCGCTTCGCTCCCCCTGCCGGCCGCACCTCCACGGCCGCGTGGTGGGAAGCCTGACTGGGAGCTGCCCGGCCTGCATCGGGAAGGTGAGACGCGGCTGGGGGTCGAAGGGTCCGACTCCTCCCGGCTCGATGCAAGGCTGGGGCCTGGGACATCTGCTCCTCCGCGTGCAACGCGCAGCCGAGACAAGACCCCCGCTTCTCCCAGCCAGGGCGGAGGGGGGAACTGTGATGAGACCATTTTACAGGCCGGAAAACCAAAGCTTGCTTTCTCTAGCTGGTAGGTAGGGGGTGGGGACAGGAGGCTTGGCCGAGTGCAGGAGGCTGGAGGGATGAACGCGATGGACACTCTGCAGCTTTTGCTCTCTGGGCTGCACGTCAGCCCTGCCCCGAGGGAGTCCAGTGTGCTGAGACTCGCCCCCCACCCCCACTTCGTAGTTGTGGGTGAAGCAAGCCCTACCTAATTCCAGAAGATTTTTTTCCTAGGCAGGAGAACTGTTGCCGCCCATCTGTCCGCCCAGTTCCGCCTCCTCTGGGCACACGTGGCTCCCTCAGGGGAGCCTTCAGACAGGTGCCCTCATGCCCACCCAGCACGACCCCCTTCCCCACCTCCTGTCCATAAAGGCACAATGCCTCCCCACAGCTCAGAATTCTGAGCGCTGCTGGGCTGCCGCACACTCTCGTGCACCCCGGGGCTCGGTGGCTGGCAGGCAGCGCACCACGATCTTCGGGCTGGGTTGGGTTCCTCAGGCAATTTGCTCCCCCAGCATTGGTCTCAGGCCACTTGAGGCACATATACGCACAGAAGGGACCGGCCAGAGGTTCGAGGTGCGCTAGGGACCCCTCCTCTAGGCCTCAGAGTATGGAGAGAGCACAGAGAAGCCGGGCTTTACTTGACCCTGCTAATTCGTTTCAGGATGAACCGCCTGGAATTGCTTACAGCGCCTGCTTGGACGAGGCCTCGGGGTCTCCAAGAAGGCCCGCCGCCAGGAGCCGCCCTCACTAGCCTCCCTCCCGCCATCAGCCACTCCGCCCTGGGGCCCCAGAGAGGGGCGGTGGTGCAGTGGGGGGCCCAAACTTCGTTGGAGCCGGGACAAGCCCGCGCGCCCTAAGGCTCTGCCCTCTCCTCCCGATTCCACTCCCACCTCTTGACTCCCTGCCCTTGGCGGGGGCGGGCGCCTGCACAGCAGCCTCGGGCACTCCCCAGTCGTCATTCCATCCCACGAAAGTGTCTGGCCCACAACACTGCGAAGGCGACATTCCGGATGACCCTCGTGGGCTCACACAAGCTGAGATCCCAAGCCTAGGAGGCGGGCGGGTGGGGCCGTGTGCCAGGGCTGCCCTCGGGGCCGCTGCGCTGTGGCCTCTGTCCCTTCATCGGCCCCCAGCCGCTGAGCGGGGAGAAGAACCGCGGGCGGGGGCCGTGGGGGAGGAGCCGGCACAGGCACGGGCGCTGGGGTCTGCATCAAAGCCGGGGTCGCACATTTGGTCCTGCATGCCGAGGCGCTGGCGGAGTGACGTCTGCCTCTTCGCACAGTAGTGGGTTTACAGACCCTGGGATGGTGCTGAGTTAGAACTGGGGGACTGTGGGGCCTCCTGGAGTGGAGGGGCCCAAGCCAGAGCCAGAACAGGGGCCAAGTCCACCTCTAGGGAGGGCTGGAGACAGGAGTAGCTTCCTTCCCTGCCTGCTAGGGCAGGGTGGTGTGGGCCCACTGCCAGGTCGCCTGTGCCACTGCAGACACTGCCTGAGACGATGAGGAAGGAAGTCATTCCTGTTACCCAGCCTGGGGTCTCCATGGGCTCCTCCGCAGCCTGTGGCTCAGGTATTCCCACTGCTCCTTGACCTTGCCTTCCCTGGGCCCTTCTCCTCCCTTGGCCCCTCTCCTCCCTGGGCCCCTCTCCTGACACGGAAGCCCCCACCAAGCCCACCCCCATGTGTTCTCCTTGTGCTGGACTTCTACTCAAACTGCTAGGGTGCTGGGTACTCTGGCTGGTTCCGAGCTCTGGGGGGTGTGCCAGACAGCAGGCAGGAACCTTCCCAGGAGCTCCAGGCCCACAGCCAGGTTCACAGGAGGGGGCCCAGGGCTTGGAGGACGTGTCCCTGTGAGTCTGGTCAGACAGCTGACCACGTAGCTGGTGAAGGCCTGGGAGTTAGAAACATCCCGGTGTGAGCACCTTGTAGCTGGGAGGACACTGGACAGGATGACAGGGGGTGTGGCCCCCTCGCCCCGCCCACGCCATCCCCTGGGACTCTTCCTAAGCCCCAGCACCACCTGCCTCCTGGTCCCAGGGCAGGGCCTGACCCACCTCAGAGTCCTAGTGCCTGGACCCTGGGGGTCCAATGACTGCAGGATGGACAAAGGGGACAGCTGAGACCCTGAGAGAGGCAGACATGGGAGGGAGTAATTGGTGGAGAGAAGACTGGACAGGGAGGCACACAGCCCTGTGACACTAGCCTCCTCCCAGCCGGGAGGGGACGGGCCAGGGTCTGCACAGCCAGCCCCACATAGCTGGCCCCCAACCTCCTGTCACCAGGCCTAGTTGTCCCCCCACAACTGTGGGTGCTGTGTTCTGGGCCAAGTTCCCAGGAGGATAGTTTCTAGAGATGGTGAGAGGGATGGCTGCGCCAAATGGGTGGTGGCACCCTCTGCCCCCGACCTTGCTGGGCACCAGGACTCCCTGCAGACTGGAAGTTCCCACAATTCCAGAACAAACAA